TTATATTTTATTTTTATTTATTTATTTTTTTTTTTTTTAATTTTATTTTTTCAGCAAATTTATTAGGCTTAAAGATGAATACCCCAAACTAATGAAAAAATTAATACCCCTTATGAATTTACTGATATCAGTATTTATATAAATAAAATTTCACTTTTTTCATTTCATTTTTATTTAAAAAAAAAAAAAAAAAAAAAAAAAAAAAAAAAAAAAAAAAAAAAAAAAAAAAAAAAAAAAAAAAAAAAAGGAAAACCCACACAATATTTATTTTGTTATTTCTGCTTTCGAGCATGATGAAATTACAACCGCATAAGTTGCGTACTATAAAATATATAAAAAACGAAGCCAACTCATTTTCTTTTTTTTTTTTTCTATTTATTGACGAAACATTAAACTTGTTAACGTTTTACAATATGCCAAAAACTTGTTACAAACTTCCGTCGCCCTCTCACGCAAGCACAGGCAATAATTTGATGTGAACGATTCATTCGATTCGGGGTTAGATGGGGCCAGAAGCGGATTAGTAGAATGGTCCAAAACACCCACGTTCACCGCAACAGCAGCATCTATTGGGCGGACAGGTCCAAGGACCACACGGCGGGCAAGGGCCGCAACAGCAGTTATTGTAGTTCATGGCAGGCAGAGCTGGACCAACCGGGCCATAGGCCAGAGCATAAGAAACGCTTCCACAGGGACCACAGCACATCTTCGTTCAATAGAAAATTCAACTGAAACTATATTGGAGAAACAATTAACGTATATATAAAGCCGGGAAAAAAACTCCGACCTACCCGAATAAAATTGCTTGCGTGAGTAAAACGACCGAAATTTTTAGTTTCGGATCGAAAAAGTTTTTCGGTGGTGCTGTTAAGGCGAGAGACGAAAATGGAATAGCTTGTGGAGCTAGCACATAGCTCAAACACACATTCCTATAAGGAGTTTCAATTCAATGCCAACCTGATTTCTGCTTAACACAAACAAAAAACTGACTAAAAAAAAAATACTCTAAGAGCAAACTGCAACGAAATATCGATCAAAAGTTTCACATGTCGAAGACCTTCCTTTTTTCGTTTTTTGCACAAATTTCACACATCAATGATTTAACACCGAGACAAGCGACAAATAAAAAAATTGAGAAAAAAAACAAATGTGGGTAAAAAACATGACAGCAAAGAAATGTGGTAAGCGTTGGCAGCTGAAATACCCTCTGGAAAATAAATAGAGAAAAAATAAATAGAAAGCGAAAACTTAGACAGATAATGATTGATACTTCTCTTAGAAATATGTTATATACATATATATAATAATTAATGAATTAATTGACTTGATTTGCTTAAATAATAAATTTTCCTAAAATGTAGCAGCTGTAGAGTATTTCGAGACAAAATCTGATCTTATGCAGAAATAACTTTTTCTCGTTAATCCATAATCGTACATATGTATGTTAGCATATTATAATAT